CCTGCTACCACATGAATATATGAATTCGTGATAAGAATATATGAATTCGCCTTGGAAGATAGAAAGCGAGTAAGAATAAATGCCGAGCAAAGGAATTTGTCTTCTTTCAACTTAAATAAATGCATTTTACAAACAAAAGTGCGTACGTTACTTAGTACCTTGGTAATGGCGAATTCGTAAGGATCTATTTATTGATTGCATTATAAGCATTTTCATTTATTTGTTAAACATAGAATTACTTCCATTACAACCCGGTTCTATGGATGCTAGGAGCGCGAATTCATATAAGGTGGTGTTACCGGAAAATGAATATATAAATTTTATGTATATCAGAAAATTAATAAGATGAAATGAAATTATTGCTTGATTTCTAACCAAACCTACGTACATATGTAACTCAATCGCCTAATGGTTTGCCGAACCATAAACATATGTTTACACATCCAATTTCGTGAGTAGGTACCTGGTATTCACACCTTTTTAAGAAGTTTCAATTCTATCATGTGTACGGTGTTACACACGCATTTTTTTTTTATATATATTTGGACATTTTTAGCAGAGTGGCCGCTGTGGTATAGTGGTAAGCAGTGCGACTCCGGAGGGCCTGGGTTGAAGCCCTAGTCAAAGCAACATCGCAAAAAATATATAAAAAAGGTTTTTTCTTAACAACGGTCGACCCTCGGCAGGCAATGGCAAACCGCCGAATGTATTTCTGCCATGAAAAACAGCTTCTCATAAAAATACAACCACCCTTCGGACTCGGCGTAAAACTGTAGGTCCCTCCCCTTTGTGTGACAACATCTGGGCGCACGCCACAAATCGGATGAGAAACTCGGCCAAACACTAACATATGTTTGTGTAATCGCCATTCTATTATTATTATTATTAAGATCAACTTTTAAATTTACAATTGAGTAATAAAGCAAAAAAGTGTACATAGCTCATAGTCACTCAGTAACTAGTGTTCTATCGATGGTGTTTACTTAATTTGACCAACTATTTCATAGCTCAAAGAAGTACAGAAACTGAAAACCAAAAATAGTATGAAAGTAATGAGAAAATGGTAAAAGCTGAATATAAAAAAACGTTAACAGTGTACACATTCAACAAATAAATTTTATTAATTAAAAATCTATACTCTTTAGTATTCTAAGACAAGGCGCTTATTCCCAGCAATCTACTAATCGTACAGAGACAAGTCATGTATCAAATTAAAGTGCTCGATCTGAAGGTTGGCGCGAAAATTTCAGATATAAAAATCATTAGACCACTTTTGAAATATTTCCATGGAAAAATCTTTTACATTGAAAAAAGCATTGCTACGTTCATTTGAATAGGCAGGAACTGCGAGCGCTCTGAATATGGAGTAAAAAAGGATGCTCACAGCAATACCTTGAAAGAGCGTTGTCAGAGCACTTCGAATATGGCGTGAGAAGGAATTCAAAGAGTTTTTTCTTTCTGTTATCTTTTATTTATTCTGTGAATTAAAAAAGAAATTTTCAATCAAGAAGAAACTGTTTGTCGTTTCCGAATGTTCCTGAAAAGTTACCTCGCAAAAAAAATCTGTTGACGTTATGGCAGTTTTAAATGCATTAAGAGATAAACAATAATGCATAGTTACTTTCGTCTAACTTTAGGACTTTTCTGATGTTTTAAATAAAAAATATGCTGGAACTGGTAAAAAATTCCATAGGCAAACCTAAAGGGAACGTACGTGATACAAAATATTTATTGATTTACTTCAGGATTTTTCCATTGTTATGTTTTTTACAGAATAATATGTAAATCATTTTTTAATTTAGCGTTTTTTTTACTAAAGATGAAAACAACTTTAATACTTATTAATTATAAATAAACTTAAGAACATTTGAATAACTGTAAAACCCCCTTTTCGGTCTATTATCGGACTCCGCTGGTACGCTGGGAACAATGTTTTTGAACAATTTAATTTTTTATACCCGAGCGCACTTGTGCACAAGGGTATTATAACTTTGTTCACATAACGGTTGTTTGTAACAGGCAAAACGAATCGAGATAGATATAGACAAATGTATACATAAATGGTCAGGATGAAAAGAGGAATCGATTAAGCGGTGACTGTCTGTCCGTCCGTCCGTCTGTCTGTCCGTCTGTGCACACGATAACTCGAGTAAAAATTGAGATATCGTAACGAAACTTTGTACGTGCACCTCTTTCGGGCGTAGGACGGATGGTATTGAAAATGGGCAAAATCGGACAATAACCACGCCTACCTCCCATATAACGGTAATTTTCAGAAATACGAAAACTGCGATATTTTAGTAACTACTGAAGATTATTCACTCAAAATTGATATTTACAATAAGTTTTAGACGAAAAATAAGAATATTATAAATTTTTGGAAAATGGGCGTAGCCACGCCCACTTATAGTTATATGTGTATATCTTGGTAACCGCTGCACCAATTTCTTCCAAACTTAGCGCAGTTGTTAACCTTGGTATAACATTCGAAATGGCCGAAAATGTTTAAAATCCGACAATAACCACGCCCACATCCCATATAACGGTAATTTAGAGAAATACGAAATCTTCGATAAATCAGTAATTATTGAAGCTAATTTATTCAAAATTGATGCTTGCAACAATTCTTTACCAAGAAATACGTTTATGATAAAATTTTGAAAAATGGGCGTGGCACCTCCTACTTATGATCACATATATGTATATCGGTAACCGTTCTACCAATTTGTACCAAACTGGGTGTGGTTATTGTGCTTGCCACATTGATTATTATTGAATTCGGACTAAAATTACGGCCGCTTTTCATATAAAAGTAAATTTCAGAAATGCTTGAAACTTCAATATTTCGAAATTTAAGGACGCTAATTTACTCAAAATGGATACACCCCGTTTTACCATGTAGCGGTAGCTTTCGGAAAGGTGAAAAACATATATTTAATACTTGCGCCGGGTATTTAATGTTCGGCTCAGCCCGAACTTAGACTTTCTTACTTGTTTATTTTCAGTTTTACATATGTATATGATTTTAAAATGCTGGAAAACTTAAAAAAATCATTTTCGACGAACTGTTTTAAAAACGATGAGATTGTTTCAAACTTCTTTTGCGAGTTAGAGAAGGTTGAGAACTCTCCCGACTCTAAAATTAAGATAAGTAAAATAAGAGTGTATTTTTCGAGATGTAAATTAAGTCGACTGGGTTTTTCAACCTGGTGTAAGTAATCAAACCCACTTGAAGGATTAAGCAATTTTGTGTCCAATAAATAAGCAAAAATGTTTACTATGGCATCGATACTGTCGATTCAGAATATCCACAGGAGCAATTAAGATTCGCCACAGAATTTTTAAACTCTCCAACACCTTTTAATTTTTCTTGATTGAGTAGCCATTTATAATGAAATTGGTCATCTAGAGAAGTGAAAGGGCCATTCACATACAACTTTCCTCGCTTTGCTTGACAGTTCAAACTTTGACAACAAAGCGTGAAACGCAGAAGGTATGCTACAATAAACGCTTTGACAGCTTTTGCGTTCTCCCTTTCCTCCATATATTTTCTCTGTAAAATAGATAACAATATAATAATATGCATTAATAATAGCACTAAAAGTTCCTATTTACCCTATTTTTGTCATTAAATGCAAATGCAAGCGCACGAGAAAAGATACATGTAGACAGCTGATTGCCAAAGCGGGCAAAAGTTGAGAGTTGCCCAAGATTTTTCTTTGTTTTGCTTCAAACGCTTTTTTTGTGAGCATATTCATGCATATTCCTACATCGATCTTATATGTCAAAGCAAAGAACTATCAAGCAAAGCGAAGAAAGTTGTATGTGAATCAGCCTGAAGAGGTTCAAAGTCATAATTTATGTGTTGATCTAATAGTTCCTTTCTTAATTGAGATGACTGGCTTTTTGTAATTTTTCGAAACAGTTAATGAATTTTCAACTTAAAAGGAGGTACCAAGGCATAGCAAACAGGTATTGGAGCAAAAACAACATTTCTGTGTTTTTTGTTGGTGCTTGTCTTATCTAAAAACTGTTCTGATTTTGAGTAAATATTAAAAATTAAATTTGGGGGAAAAAATGGTGTGATTTTCTTTCTTAGAAAATTTTGTTTGCTTCTCGAAGCATTGATGGATATGCAAGGACCAGTAATCAGCGTTTGTGCTGCGGAGTTTGTGTGCGGAGTGACCCAAACGTTGCTTTGCAATCGTTTGTTTTGTATGGGAAAAGTTTTCACATGCAAACAGATTTTGACAATTTATATATGTTGTGAGAAGAAATTAAAAATACATACTTGACATTTTAGAGACCAAATAATTTGAAAAAAATCAAATCAGCTTCTCTATTGATACTACCTGTTCAATATGCCTTGGGTAGTACAAAAGATTGCAAAGAAGTACATTTGACTGTACTTCGAAGTACGAAGTACAACGGCTCAAAAAGAAGTACTGTACTTCGGAAATAAGTACGGTTGGTCACATTATGTATACTCTACCTATCGATAGTTGCGATAGTGATAGTGCTAAATATTCGATACAATTGATACTATCGAAAGATTTCTTACTTATGCTGAGATTTCACTTAATGCCCAGTTTCACCAATCATTTGTGAAATTTATCAAACTTAAAATTTAAAATAGCAACATTTTCTAAAAAAATGTGTAATTTCAAATTTATGTTTGATAAATTTAGAATTTATTGGTGAAAAATCTGAGCATGACATTTTGTAAATGGGAAAATTTGATTATACATTTTATGACTAATAAGGTCAAGAAAGATTATTTGTACAAGCAAATGTGTTAAACAAAACGATACCGTGTATTTCAATAAGATATTTTACGAAAAAACAAGAAGAATATGTTTACAAACAATAGAGTTCACTACGTACGACTGTAAAAATTGGTTTAAAACCAAAAGAGCTTACTTTTTTAAGAAAATATAAAGTCAGCTTTGTGTTAGGTATAGATGTTGGAATACTATTAAAATTTTTCAAATATTCAAAATTTAATTTTTATTTACAAACAAAATCTTGTCAACGTTAACTTCTTTAAGGTTGGCTATGCGGTCGGAAATAAGGTACCCTGCCTTACTAAACATCCTTTCCGATTCTGTAGATGATGCTGGGACACATAGATACCGTCTTGCACAAACCTTTAGTGCATCCGAATCGGTTGAATTGATCTGCAGATATTGAATATAAGAAGTTGCTTTATACACACATATGTACATATGTTTATAAAGTTATTAATTACCTTCCAGAAGAGCAATGGGTCAACATCCTGCGGGGAGTTAGGGCTTTCAAAGTAGCGGCGTAGGGAAATGATCGCATCAGTAGTACTAGATTGCCTTTTCAGTGCTATTTTTGTTTCAACAAAATTTAAAAACGAGTTCTGCGACCCGGTTTCAACAGTTGATGGTGTTGGTATTTCTGGTGTGCGGCTCGAAGTCGACAGTGTCGGCATGGAAAGCAGTTCACTTTGAAGGAGATTAGTAGCTGCGTGTGCATTTCCGACCGACCTATACCCTTCTTTCTTGAATCTTGCATCCATTAATGTCGCGAGTTTTGGCACACTTCGGTTCTCATAATGCGAAGTTCGTACTTTTAATCGGTCTATTAAGAACGTACAGATATCTTCGCATTCTTTATTTTTCAATGTACCTTTAACATTTGGTAACTTTCGGTATATACCGCACGGCGTACGCAATAGGTATGATTAAAGATATGGTTACAGATGTACCAGCTGAGGGTTGGACTGTAGTATCATCAAAAGGAGAAAATATCATACTCAAGTCTTCCAATATCATAAAATCGTCAGCTGTGAGTGGATATTGAGCTCTGGGTGTATTTAAATGTACCATGGTGAGTGCTTCTCTTGTTAACAGAACCATTTACCATCCTATAAGCGCCATTACAGCGTGTTGGCATCTCTTGTACTAGACTATAAGGAGTTTCTAAGTTTTGTGCCGCCTTGAATTTTGCATACGCAGTTGAGCTGCTTATAAAAACCCAACAATACGTTTGCATTTAGTTAAAATCGCGCTTTATGCGTGCTTTATGTGAAATAAAACAAACGGCAATAACGCACAATTTGCTTTATTTCAATGAGCTTTGCTTTATTTCCAACCTTTGTTGTTGTCTTATTTCCCATTGCTTATTTTTACCATCTATTATTTACTATTTGTATCAAAAACAGTTTACTGACAGGAGGAAAAAGAACTTTGTTTATTCTAAAAATACAATTAAACAAAAAATTTGATATAATTCCTATGAAGAAAGCAATACATATTCACAAAATATTTTTACTTATGAAAAGTCTAACAAAATATAGGAAAAAGGTCGTCTTCACTAACTGCTCATCAAATGGGGCGCTTTTGTATGAATTTTATCTGCAGGCTTTTTAATATGTTGAAAACATTGCTCGAAAACCTTAAAATGTTTGCATGGAACCATGGCGTAATAAACAGGTGAAGGAATAAAACAGCTTTCTCGCTTTATTTTCTGACGTTCGGCTGTCTTATAGTCACATTTTATAGGC